CTTCCGTGTATCCAATCCCTTCCTTATAACACATTGTAACTAGTAGGACCATCTATTGCGAAGAAGACTGTGGTCCTAGTAGTTGCCCCTATAGTTATGTCCAATGGCATAACTCCTTTAGCTAAAGTTGCTCCATCATTGAAACTTATAAGGATGACTTCTGTTGGAATCACATCACTTTCTGTCTTTGCAAACTTCCTCATCATCCTAGATGGAATGGTGCTTATAGCTGCTCCATTATCGATAAGTACTTTCGCCACAGGTATACCGTTAACTAAAGCCTGGTCTCAAGTGTTTAGTTAACTTCATGGCTAGTCTCTTAAAAATAACCTTTTCGACAGCATCTATTTCCACTTCCTGCTTGTCTTCTGTTGAATTATCCTTTTATGATAAGTCAACATGCAGTATGTCGCACTGAGCTTCCGCTTCCTGAATTTCCTTGTTATTGTTTTCTAATGCTTTCTCTACGGTTACCCAACCTGTGGGAGGAGGCATTATTTTTGGAGGTGATCCATACTTTTCAGAGCGAGCTACTCTCTTTTTCCTCTTGGACGTCCCATACAGCACATAATAATCGAAAGAACGTCCAAACGGTTCCCCCAACAAGTTCACTTCACGAACTCCCTCTCGATGTAGTTACTTCAACAGAGTATTGTGCAATACTCCTCTCTTTCTTCTTTTTGCTTCCAGATCAATTTCCTCTTCGATGTCTGTCATACCATCATCCTCTTCACCATTGTAGGCCCCTCTAGAAGTTTGGCCTTCTTCACATTCCATCACACATGCCTCTTCCTCGTTATCCTCCCTTTCTTCTTCTTCCTTCTCTTTGTTCTTGAACTCATTGGCTAGTAAATAGTTATTATCCATGACAGGAGGTAACGTACCAAACTGAATAGTAAGGGGCTAATCTAGATCTTCTCCATCCCTTCTGTCTTGCTCAAACTTCGATCTCCTAGAAGAACTCTCTAGCAATTCTTCCATCGATTCGCCTGTACCAGTCTCTTCACTGTCTTCAAGAACATTTTGATTGGCCAAATCGAGTAATTTAGGTGCCTTAGGACGTGGCACTCCCTGTTGTTACCTCATCATTCATCCATAATTCCGTTGAAAATACCTTTGTTGGGTTCTAGTTATCTCGTTGAAGGGTATCACCCTTCCTGCATTATACTAGAACGAATGCCATACATTTTGGTTGGCAAGGTTGCGGCTTGAATGTTTTCCCATTATTTATTATGCTGAACTACCTCTCAAAAGGCGGTCCCCTATAGAATGATATACCTCGCCCTCTACCAGGCTGAGTGTTTGGGAAGAAACTAGGGCGATGGTGATGCTGCCATATCCCTGGTTTCTCTGTATTTGCACTCACTTCTCTTTTACATCTTGTGCATAGGACGTCTTCATCCTTTTTAGGCTCCTTCCCTTTGATACGTTCAAAGACACTGGGGTGTGGCCCAGGGTCTTCTTCTCCATCATCTATAACCAACTTGAATTTTGACAACTTATTTTAGAAACCAGTCGTCACCATGTTCACCCCAAGTGGCTGTGGAAAAGGGTTTTCATCCACTGCCATCTTCTTCTTATCTTTGAACTTAATTCGACCTGATTCAATGGCATCCTGTAACACATGGCGAAAAACCAAACAGTTGTTAGTCAAATGCGACCATGCATTATGCCACTTACAATATTTTTTACCCTTGATTTGCTCAGGGCTTGACAACTTATGTTTATCGGTCAGCTTTATCTGCTTATCCTTATATAGTTTATCAAATATAAGGTCAGCTTTGGTTACGTCAAACGAGAATGTTCTAGCCTTTTTATTTTCATCTTTTATAGGCTCATCCTTGCCCGAAGGTTTAGCCATTATAGACAAGTATATGCGTCTCCTTTGATTAATTCGGCCAAACACATTTCGGTTTGATCGTAATACTCGCCATTTATGGTATGAACATCAAAGTTTAGTTCTCTATAATAAGTTTCCTTGCTAGAATTTTTCATTTGCTCTTCTTCTCTTATTAATCGTTCATACCTAATCATTTTTGCGCTCAATTGGAAAAGATCAGGAAATTCCCTGTCTTGGAATTTCTTTTTCAAATCAAAGCTTAAACAACTTTGAGCAATTTTGAGAAACTCCTTTTCGGGTAAAGGTACAAAATATTTACTTCTTGCTGTCTTGAACCTTTGAAGGAAACCTTCTGCCCATTCATTTGGCATTTGACGTAGATTCGCCAAATCGGCCAATGTAACTTCAGACTCAGTCTTATAAAACTGAGCATGGAATAATTGCTCCAATTGTTGCCATGTTTGAATAGAGTTCGCTGGCAAATTGATGAACCAAGAGAAGGCTACTCCTATTAATGAACTAGGGAACAACCTCATTTTATGGTGGTCGGTTACTTCACCATTTTGCAATGTGAATCGCCTTATGTGTTCTAGAGTAGACACCTCTCCTAAACTGGTAATTAATGAGAATTCTGGCACTTTATACCCTTTAGGCCATGGATATGCTTGGTCTACCCAATCAGGGTATGGCTTTGTGTAAGTCGGCCTAATGACAGGACGTACCTCAAAAGCCATTTGATCCTGTACTATTTCCATAATTTGATTTCTCAACATGACATTGAGGTCATATGAAATTCCTACAGGTTGGTTGTCTGTTGATTTGTCTGAGGCCTGATGTTTGGTCTTTGGTTGGCAACAAAGTTGCCATGATTTGGGCCATTGTTGCCATTAGCCTGAATATTTATTCGATCATTGACACGTGGGGTATTCTGTCCATTATTTAGGACATTGTCTCTTATATTTAGGTTTACCCCCAAGTTAGATGTACCATTACCACTATTTTGATTTGACCTTACACCATCCCCTGGTTTGAAGTAGATGGACCGAAAGGTGGTTCTATCCCTTGATTTGGACTTAGGACTGAGGAATTATGTCCCACTACTATCCTAGTTTGAAAGTGATTTGCAATAGGCACAACTGGCTGAAAAATTTGGCCTTCTAACTTATTCATTATTTCATTTAATGTATTCAATTGTTTGGCCATGTTGTCATAATGTGCATTCCCATTCTGGGTAAATCTTTCCATATTATGAACATTTTGTAGATTTACCTGTTCAACGACATCCTATGTGAGTTCTCCAAGCAATGCACGCATGGTTCGAGGACTCAACTCTCTCATTGGTTCGTAACGACTGTGACTGCTCTATCTCTGTCCCTCTGCTCGTGGAGAGCTTTGCTGCTCCTCATATCGCTCGATTATAGACTGGACTCCTCCCTGACTTGCTGCTTCCTTATTAGATTTGTGAGGTATATTGTTTCACCTTTTGTATTTTCAACACCAAACACCAAGGTCTCACTGGGCGTGCCAAATTATTTCGTGCGGGTAGTTGCTAACAATTAAAAAATGGATCAGACGATTGTTTAAGGAACAGACCTCTTGAGACAAAGTCCTAAAAAGGGTGTTTTATTGATGATGATTTACAATTGGAAGTTAAATAGAATGCCTCCAAAGGGCGCAAGCACACGAGTACTAAAAGAAATGTTTAAGTTTAAACTAAGAAATCGAAATTACATATTCTCTTTTTGAGAGTGTTTGATTCGGGGGTCCTTTTCTCTATGTCTTTTCTTCTCTTTATATTCCTTTGATGATTTATTCGTGACAACCACTTGAAAACTGCTTGATTACTGTATAACTACCCACTTTCTTTATAGTGGCTAACTTGTAGGGGAACTGCTGTCCCTAACTGTCGCCATTACTCTTTGTCGTTCAACTGCCTTCAACTAGGCTCCTTGATTCGTGGAATGTGATAAGACCACTCAATAACTGCTTCAATAACTGCTATTCTAGATAATTATAATGTTTTATGTTTGCTAAGATCCTGGGCGATTTGAAGGTTTGGGTGAGATCGTGGTCATTGCTCTGGGCGATCGTAAGGTATACTATTCGCTCAGATTCTGGACATCTTGCAAGTTTGGGCGATAATGTTACCGTGTTCGTAGGCTTCCACCGCATTCATCAATAATCCAGTCTGGACCTTTATCCTGGATTCCCAATTGGGCTTTACTCTTTGGGCTATTTGATTTGGGCTGCACTTTTAGTGTATCAACAGAAAAATTAGTGCATTCCCATTATATTCATCCTTTATCGTTATTTCTAGCTAATGTGGATTGTTCCTATATCGTTAGCTATATATTTTCGCTATACTATGTTTCTAATGTTGAACTTAATTCTTTTGGTGTACTAGTGTGAAGCAAACCCACCTATAAATCGAACAAAAGAACCAATTAATGAAGGATTTGCAAAGATTAACTCCAAGAAACTTAAAACCAACAAACTGAAAAAATGAAGAACGATTTTTCCGTTTTTGATTCGGCTCAGAAACTCGATCCACACCATAAAGGTATCTCCAATTTGAAGACCATTATCAGTCATAAAGACATTTTCACAAAGATGGCAGAGGAGGATTTGTTTTGCACTAAGCGTGAGGAGAATTTCTCTTGTTTTGGGATGAAAAAAAAAATGAAGGGTAAAGGCTCCAATTTATGGGCTTAGTGGGGAGAACAGATTTCCCAGAAATCTTGCAAGATTATGTTAACTAAAAGATGGACCTCATCCAAGACGAGATAAGGTAGATGAAGAAAGTTATCGATTACATTTATCTATCTTTTCTTGTGATAAATCAAATTACCTCCAAGTCGAGTATTGAGCATCTAGACTAATGGACTGATTACCTCTAAATACCCAACATAATTGGGCTACTTCAATTGTGGTGTGGATTTAATTCTTCAATTTTGGGCTTATAGCCTATGAAGTTAAAACGAGTCTCGATTTTTCATCATCGCCTAGGGGATTTGGGCATCACTTACCAAACATACCCAACAACTAGGTTTGCAGAAGTAAATCCCATAATTTCTAAATGGAATTCAATAAAGATGAGGCTATTAGGTTTAAAACTATTGCAGAAAAGAAATTAAAATAGGAGGACTTTGCTGGGGCCAAAATGTTTGCTTTAAAGGCGGAAACTCTATGTCCTTCACTTGATGATCTACCTCAACTCCTCAAGGTCATTAATTTCTATGATGGCGTTGAGAAGAAAATAAATGGAGAAGTAAATTGGTACGAGATTCTTGGTGTCAACCCCTTGGCTGACATGTACACCTTCCGTAAAACATACAAAAGAATTGCTGTGGCTCTACACCCTGATAAAAACAAGTCCTTCGGGGTCGAAGAAGCATTCAAACTTTTTTCTCAAGCACAGAGTGTGCTGTTTGATAGGGGAAACAAACTAATGTATGATATGAAGCTAAATGTCAGAGCTTACCAGAGGATTTCAGTTGGAAATCCTCCATTTCCAGCTGATAAATATAGTTTTGGGAATTTTACCAGCTGCTCTAGTTCTGCTACAAATATGACAGCTTCTGGCAAGGCCCAGAATGTGCCAATGTGCCCAAGGAATCTGGCCACAACTACAGGTTCACATTACAATTCTTCTCCACTCTGGCCAAGGTATCAGTCAACAGCCTTTGGTGGTAAACACATTCCCACTCACAAAACAACTCCGGATACAGCAACCTATCCTAAGTATGTTTTCATTCCACCCTGGCCAAGGGACCCAACTGCTGCCAGTGGTTCCTAGCACATGACTCAAGAAGCGACCTCCATTTTTTATCATGTTCACATTTATAATCATCACAATCCTCTTACAATTGCCACCATTTTTCAGTGTTTTACCGCCCCACTTACTTTAGGGAACCATAAAGAAAATTGAGCCAAGGGAGTTTTTTTTTTTTTTTTTTTTTTTTTTTTTTTTTCAGCGTGAACACTGAGGCTATACAAGTGAAGTATTTATACACAATTACTTGACAAAAATTCAGAATAAATAATCCCATGAAATCTGGTTGATTGGCTTGACAACCAAGATGATCTTTATTGGACAGCTTGCTTGATGACGGATCTCTCATACCTTGGTGAGATTTTGTTATAGTTAGATGCCACTAATTAAGGCTAGATTATGGAAGTCATCACCCTTTTTTTCTCCAAGAATTTCTAGTATCCATAAGCTGAGTTGGAGTAAGATTATAATGGGCTGGATATTCTACTTCAAATCTGCCTTCTGCTTTACTTTCTGCTTCAGCACCCAGCCCACTGTTTCCTGTTGTAATACCCTCCCGCAAACTTTGTCGGGGTTGGAGGCAAGGTTTGGGCTAAAGAGACGTCTTGGAAACCCTTTTGGAACACTTCCAACATGTATGTAAGTCATAAATGTCCAAACCAGAACCATGATGAAAATCATAAAAAATTGTCCACGCACATCTGTTCTAAGTAGATTTATGGTGAAAAGAAGCTTTTCTTAGAGTTTATTTGTATAATCAACTATATTTACTGGTTTCACAACACCATGACCTTGTTTTTCGACTTCTTAAAGCAGTTAGCAATAGATCAAATGACTACCATAGCAAACATACCATTTGCAAACCTCCATAAAAGGCTCATACTCTATTAAACTGAGATCTCGCTATTTGGAATACAGAACTCATCCACAAGTCCCTAAATATAAATCCTAAGAAAAGTCTGTCAAATATGAAATGTTAAAAATCCTCAAGGAGGTACTATGTAGACATTCTAAAGAAAAAAGGTTAGAAAAATTATGGTGTTTAAATTTGTTATAGGAGAAATGGGTATGGAAGAAATAAGACTCCATAATTTCCTTACTCTGATAGATTGCTGCATGAAAAGCATAGCAATTAGCATTTCAAATAGTTCTTCAGCCACACGAGTAAACCTATTGACAATGGAGCTAGCTCTAAAATAGCAAAGAGGCAACAAAATTATAGTCAACACGCATTCCAAATACCATTTCGTTGCTTATAAAAGAACACTTCTTCAATTGTTAAAACACAAACATCGTAGTAGTTCTTTTCCATAAAGTAAGTTGACGATTATTAACGTTTATATGGTTTTATTATAGGTGGTATAATTGCAAGGAACTCAATTTAGAGGATGATTTCTACTCTGTAAGATCAATTTAGTTAAATATTGTTTTATTGATAATGTTGGAAAAATGAGTGAATTGGCTCACTTTGGCAAAATTTTCGGTGGGACCCGTTGGTCCAATTTGAAAGATCAAAGTTGATCCTTGTTCTCCTCTGTGAGAGCATTGAAATCATATATTTATTTGCTAAAATTGATGAATAAATAAATGAGAAATTTGAGCTCAAAGATGACCATTGGAAGATGGTTTATGTGGAAAAATGAGTCTAGTCCTACATAGGAAAATGAAGAAAATATTAACCACTTTATATAGGATTGCACATTGAAATAGTGTAATTATGTGTAGCATCGAGGCTCTCTCCACGTGCGCGTGAAGGGGGGTGTAAATCATGGACCGAAATTGCCTTTGGACCTTGAACTTGTGTGCGAACGCTACCTGCGTACACGAATGTCGGACCGAACGAAGAAAAAATTGGCTCGTTTGAAGTGACCATGTTTTGCAATTTTTTGCTTTCTTCAACTGATCTTTAAGTTTCCTGAAACTGCCAAAACTCCATTATTTATTATTTATTATTATGGAGTTAATAGGCAGATTTAAACTTATATAAATTGTCACTTTCCAGCAGTTCCAAAACACACGAAAAACCTCACAAAAATAGGAGGAAAACATTCTGCATATTTTCTTCCTGTCTGCATCTCGATCTCTGTCCAGTATCATTTTGTGGTGATATTGTTTGAACACAAACTCAATTCGTCGGAGTAGTTTCTGTGGTGCTCAGATTCTGTTGGTTTTGTTGTTGTATTCTGGGAAGCAGACGCTCAGGCTAGACCTCAAACACTTACGGTGAGGGAGCAAATCTGTTTTAAAGAAACTGTGTTTACACAGGCCTCAGGTTAAAAGTTTATTTCCAAATTTATATGCTTCCAGTTTAAATATCCATGCTTTAATTATTTGCAGAATTATAAGCCTTCCAGATTTATTTTAGCATGCTTTCAGATTCTATTTAGCTTTCTGAAATTTATACTGCTTTTATATTTCTGTAAATTATATAATTTACCATTCTTATTCAAGTAGTTTAATTTGTTTTAATCAGATAATATTTCTATATACGAATCGGGAAATAAAATCGTGTTTGTGAAAATTCAAGTTCTGTGTTATTTAAATTATTTTATGAAAACAAACAGTTTGTCCAAAATCTGTGTTGTTTAAGTTATCATAAAGTGTGAAAACTTTGTTGTTACATCACTGTCATATACGGTGAGCTAACTAGCATATACAGTAAATTGACAAATACGGTGAGTTGCACTGTCAAATACGGTGAGTTGCAAAATACGGTGAGTTGTACTGCCATATACGGTAAGCAATTGTCAAATACAGTAAGTGTGAATCCAGTGTCTAAAACACAAATACGGTATATGAGAACACAATTCCACGCCATACACTACCGATTAAATATACCAACAAACTTAAAACAGATTCGTAAAGGAAAAAATTGGTTTCTTATTTGTTAATTTCAGAAACTAACTTTTTTTTTGTTTGATTTTCAGAAATGACAAATGAATCGACCAACATGGATGTAACTTAAACCATGCCTACTGAAAATCGGGCTATGGGCTCAACTGTGGCTCAAGGGCCAAACTCTATTGTGGCTCAGACTGTGGTTAGATTGCCAAGTCATGTTGTGAGTCAAACTGTGGCTCCTACAACTGGCCAAACGGTTACTGTTCCGGTTAATCATGAAGAGAAATCGAAAAAATTCAATGGCTTGAATTTCAAGAGGTAGCAACAGAAAATGTTGTTTTACTTGACCACCTTGAATCTTGTGAGATTCTTGACTGAAACTGCTCCTGTACTCAATGAAGGAGAAGGATATATTCAAACAATCAGTGCGCTTGATGCTTGGAAGTATTCGGACTTTTTATGCCGAAACTACATTATGAATAGTTTAGCAGACACGCTATACAATGTGTATAGTACTATGAAAACTGCTAAGGAATTGTGGGAGTCTTTGGACAGAAAATATAAAACTAAGGATGCTGGGGCTAAAAAGTTTATAGTCGGCAGATTCCTAGACTATAAGATGGTGGACTCCAAAACTGTTATCAGTCGAGTGCAAGACCTCCAAGTGATTCTTCACGAAATTCATGCCGAAGGAATGGTGTTGAGTGAAACCTTTCAAGTGGCAGTAATTATTGAAAAATTGCCCCATGCATGGAAAGATTTCAAAAACTATTTGAAACAAAAATGAAAAGAAATGAACATTGAAGAACTTATTGTTAGACTTCGAATTGAAGAAGACAACAAAAGTTCAGAAAAGAAGTGGTTCAATCCTGGTGCGGCTAAAGCCAATGTTATGGAGCATGGTCAAAGTAGTAAAAACTACAAAAACAAAGTCTGGACCATCCGGTGGCAAAAGGACTAAGCTAGGACCAAAATGTGGAATTTCTAAGAATAAATTTCAAGGAAAATGTTTCAATTGAAACAAAGTGGGCCACAAGTCTTCAGAGTGCAGATTGCCAAAGAAGAAGAAAGAAGCAAATGTGGTTAATTGCATGGCACAAGATGTGTCGGAACTGAATCTCTCAGCTGTCGTTTCTGAAGTGAATATGGTGGGTTCAAACCCTAAAGAGTGGTGGATTGACACTGGTGCTACGAGGCATGTGTGCATTGATAAGGAGTTGTTTACTGCGTTCAAAGCAATTGAGATTGGAAAGAAGTTGTTTATGGAAAATTCAGCAACTTCTGAAATCAAAGGTCAAGGAAAGGTGATTCTGAAGATGACCTCGGGAAGAGAGCTGACTCTCAAGAATGTGCTATATGTGCCAAAAATTCGTAAGAATTTATTGTCTGGGTTGCTTTTGAATAAGCATGATTTTTGCATTGTATTTGAGTTAGACAAAGTCATTCTATCAAAAAGTGGAATGTTTGTAAGAAAAGGTTATGTTTTCGACGGTATGTTTAAGCTGAATGTAATGGTTGTGAAACTAAAAATAAATAAAGCAAATTCTTCTGCTTATTTGCTTGAGTCTTCCAGTTTGTGACATGGTAGACTACAACATGTTAACTATGATACTTTACGCAGACTAGTTAACTCGAATAGCATACCCAAGTTCCATAATGATTCCGAACATAAATGTGAAACTTGTATAGAGACAAAATTGACAAGGTCATACTTTAAGTCAGTTGAACGGAACACAGATTCACTTGATTTAATTCACATTGATGTTTGGGACTTAAAACTTGTACAAACAAGAGGTGGCAACAAGTATTTTATTTCTTTTGTCGACGATGACACAAAATACTGTTATGTGTATCTGCTTAAAAGCAAGGATGAAGCTATAGAAAAATTTGTTCTCTATAAGAATGAAGTTGAAACTCAACTTAATAATAAAATTAAGGTACTATGGAGTGATCAAGGTGGTGAGTATGGAGCATCGTTTGCCAATTTCTGTGCATAATATGGAATCATACATGAAATCACCGCACCTATTCACTGCAACAAAACGGTGTAGCTGAACGAAAAAATCGTACTTTAAAAGAAATGATGAACGCAATGCTAGTAAGTTCTAGGTTACCTCAGAACATGTGGGGGAAGCTGTGTTATCAGCAAATTACCTTTTAAATAAGGTGCCCCGAAAAAAATC